AAATCCCTAGCCTCCCCCATCATTTCCTTCTCCACATCGGTAAGGCTTCTCAGACTCATCTCTTTGCTTTCTTTTCGTATGAATTTTCTACCTTTTTCTAACTATATTTCTCGTACTTCAGTATGTTTTGCAGTTTATATCATCTGGTATGAGCTTGAAGATACTTAAGGATGCTCTGCTTCAACAAAAGGAAATTGAGGAGGAAGAGCCTTGGTAACAGAACTCTAATGGTTTAATTTTTATGGAAGATTGTAGAGATGCGATTAAGGATAATAACGATGGTAATTTTGCAGGGTTGTAAAAATCGGTCTAGGCGCCCGCCTAGGCGCTAGGCGCCACTAGACCGTGGCGATTTCCCCCCTAGGCGCCCGCCTAGGTTACTGGACGCCTAGGTGTCCGCCTAGCGCCTAACTCGGCCGATTTGGCCGCCTAGCGTCTAAGTTAGTCGAGTTAACTCGTCCATTTCGGTCGAGTTAACCCGATCGGCTCGGTCTATTTTTTTATTTTATATATATATATATATATATATATATATATATATATATATATATATATATATATATATATATATGTGTGTGTGTGTGTGTGTGTGTGTGTGTGTGTGTGTGTGTGTGTGTGTGTGTGTGCGCACGCGCGCATACATATATATAATATGACATATATACACTCGTAGACTAGTTTGATACTTTGCATCTTTGAATGATTGAAGTATTTGAGTATTTCATATTTGAGTATTTTTAATTTTTAATATTGTTTTAATGTTTTTTTTTTTTTTGAAAACCATTGTTTTGATGTTATGACTTATGAATTATCATTAATTCATTTATTTGGATGTGTTATTTGATTAAATGTTGAAAACAACTCATTAAAATTGTCAAACTGCAAGTCTACCATTGTTTTTTTTGGCGCACGCCTAGTGCCGCCTAGATTCCGCCTAGGCGCGGCCTAGACCGCCTAGGCGCTAGGCGCTGTCCGGGCGCCCGACTAGCGCCTAGCGCCTATTGCAACCATGTAATTTTGTTAATTCTGTAAGATTTTCTGAAACTTAGAGTTAGTATGTTAACTTCGAGATTTGTACATGCCATTCAAGTTTCTATATTTTTTTTAACAAGCATCATTAAGGGTTTACGTGGTTCGTTCGGCAAAACAGCAATCAAGCAAAAGCTAAATCGAACTGAGGAGATTTGTGCATGCCATTCAAGTTTTTATGTTTTTTTTTAACAAGCAGCGTTAAGGATTTACGTGGTTCGCTAGGGAAAACAGCAATCAAGCAAAAACTAAATCAAATTGAGGGGTGAGGACATTGTAGATGAAGGCCTTTTCTCATCCTACTTTGCCTTTTTTTCTAGAGAAAGTGGGAATGTGATGGTGAAGAAAGAGAAAAAGGAAATAGAGAGAATTTTTTTTTAAACCAGAAGTTTCTATGTTTTTCTTATACAAATTTATAATTGTAAATTTATATTAATAAATAATTATTAAAACAAGTATAATTTATTTTATATTGAGGACACATTATTTTTAATAAATTTGATTTAATAATATTATACATTAATTATAAAAATTCCACCTAATAATTTTAGTATTAAATATCATACAATAATTACCATAAACAATGTTTAATAATTGACAAATTTTATTAGGCAATAAAAATTACTATTATAAAATCTTTGGTAATATGTACACATTATTTTTAATTATTTCATTTTAATAATATTATATCTTATTTATAAACATTTGAAATAATACTTTTAGTACTATTAAATATTGATTGACTAAAAATTATCTTAATTATTAAGACAATTAGTATTTAGCTTTAAAAAGTTTTCAAATATATGAATTATACATAGTAGCATGGAATCAATTAGTAGAACAATTATATTAGGCAATCTAATTAATAATTTACTTTTAAATTATATCCCCTTTTTAATAATGTATATTTTCTTAAAATAAATACATAGACTATGCTTATCAAAATAGAATTAAAAAGTATATATATATATATATATATATATATATATATATATATATATATATATATATATATATATATATATATATATATATATATATATATATATACACACACTGACACACACACACACACACACACATTTAATGTATAATATTATTGTGTCAAAAAAATGTATAATATTATTAGTACAAAATCAATTATACTTGTCTTAATAATTAATTATTAATATTATTGTCTAATAATTATGTATTGTCATCTTTTTTGGTATAATTATTATGGTAATTTATATACATACATACATACATATATATATATATATATATATATATATATATATATATATATATATATATATATATTTATTTATTTATTTATTTATTTATTTATCTTTAATGTATAATATTATTGGCACAAAATAAATTATACTTACATTAATATATAATTAATTTTTAATATAATTTCCTAATTTTTATTAAAGGTAATTTTTCTTTCTTTTGTGTAATTATTATGGTAATTTTATGATAATGTATTTAAATATTGGAAGAGAACAAATATCATAAAATTAATATAATTAATGAAATAGTTATTGTAATTGCCACAATATTTGATAATTATAATTAATATAATTAATGAAATTGAGAAATATAAGATTTCTTCCGTAAAAATATTTGTGACAATTTCATCAAATTATAATTAATAAAATATGAAATATAATTAAAGAAATGAAATTATAAAATTAACAAAACATGAATATTTATAATTTGTTTAAATACACATACATACAGTTATGCACTATAATAATCATACAAAATTTAAATGCTACTTTTTAAATTTCTAAATATAATTTTTAATTATAAATCTATCAATATAAATTATAATTAATGAAATTATATTATAGAATTTTCCTATATACATATTAATAAATATTGTGTGTATATACAATGTATTATACAATCATATAAGGAAATGCGTCCGATTAGAGTTTAAATTTATTAATATAAAATTTAGAATTTACATTTTTTATGTAATGGTACCCGGGTTGGACTTCCATTTTAAAGGTTGTAAGTTCGAGCCTCAGTGGAGGCGTTATTAGCTCTTTGTGTTTCAGTAGGTTGAGAAAGTATATGAACAGATACTACAATGTAATAGAGCTAGTAACTTTCAAAAAAATAGAATTTACATTTTTTATTGATTTCTAAGTACAATTCTCTTAGCTATTATTATTATTCATATTTTAGAATTATAATATATATGAAATGCAATTTGGAATAAATCAATTTAATTATATGAATTTTTTAAATAATTCAAATATGTGAACTTATGATTTCAAAATGAAATTAATATACAGTTACAAATAAATATAGTATGATTAGATTTACTTTAATTAGTTTTATTTCCTTAATAAAATGACTTTTCTTTATCAGTTTGTTATGGGAGACTAAGGGAGTGTTTGGATTTCTAGAAAATATTTTAAAATAAAAATACATACTAATAAAAAATAATTTTAAAATATTTTTTAACCCCTCATAACATGTGTAAATCTTATATTTTAAAAAAATACAATTTGATAAATATCATAATTTCTATTTATAATAATTAAAGAAAAAATAAATTATTCAAATATGTGAACCAATGATTTCAAAATGAAATTAATATAAAGTTACAAATAAATATAGCATGATTAGATTTACTTTAATTAGTTTTAATTTTCTTAATGAAATGACTTTTCTTTATCAGTTTTTGATTAGAGACTAAGGGAGTGTTTGAGTTGCTGGAAAATATTTTAAAAATAAAAATACTTACTAATAAAAAATAATTTTAAAATATTTTTTAATCCCTAAACTTGAGAAAAATTTATATTTAAAAAAATACAATTTGATAAATATCATAAATTAATTATTGCAATATCATTTATGTTTACAATGAGAATAATTAAAGAAAAATAAATAATTCAAATATGTGAACCACTGATTTCAAAATGAAATTAATATATAGTTACAAATAAATATAGCATGATTAGATTTAATTTAATTAGTTTTAATTTCCTTAGTGAAATGACTTTTCTTATCAATTTTTTATGCGAGACGAATGGGGTGTTTGAGTTGCTGGAAAATATTTTTAAAATAAAAATAATTTTAAAATATTTGTTTAACCCCTAAACATGCGAAAATTTTATATTTTAAAAAAGATACAATTTGTTAATATAAATATCATAAATTAATTATTGCAATATCATTTATGTTTACAATGAGAATAATTAAAGAAACAATAAATAATTGAAATATGTGAACCAATGATTTCAAAATGAAATTAATCTATCTATAATCTATAATCTATAATATTAATAAAAGTAAAATCCTCCTTTACAACATTCTAGCCCAAATTAATATGAATATTAATTAATTAGTACAAAATTAATAAAGCTTAATTGGTAACAAAATTTTATATGAAAATTAACTAATATCTAATGAATTGTTACCACAGATTAAAATCAATATGTACATAAAATAGAAAATGGTTACCAAATTCTGAGAATAATTAAAGTATTATAATTGTAAAAATAATGGACACAAATTCTACGTAATAAATGAGAAAATTTGTTTGAAATTCTGCGTAATTTTATAAAGAAATAATAATTTATTAATTATTACTTACATCAATTTATACTATTAATAAAAGTAAAATCATCCTCTTTCACATTACCGCCCAAATTAATATCTATATCTAATGAATTGTTACCACAGATTAAAGTCAATATGTACTTAAAATGGAAAATGGTTATCAAATTCTGAGAATAATTAAACCATTATAATTGTGAGAATAACGGAAACAAATTCTGTGTAATAAATGGAAAAATCCAATCCATGCATATCAGAAATGAATAATATCATATGCAATGGAATTTCTCTAGGAAACGCTCTCGGAATCACTATCGGACAATCCCTCAACTACAGCGACCAATCGATCGTCGGAGGATCAAGACCTACTGGAGAGAAACACTAAGAAATCCAAAAGGGATCGAGATCAGATGGAACTCATGAATCAACCCCAGGCACAGTCATTTTTTCAAGAAACCCCTATGGGTGAAGCAGGGACTAACACCCCAAACTCGAGCCAGTGGAGGACGCCGGCGGCAACCCCTAGCCGAGCTTGGAATCCGAGGGTTCTTACCCAACCTCAGGAAGATGAAGCGGTATTTGATGATGATATGGAACAAGATGGCGTATCATACGATTATCCAGTCATTCGGGTAACAAAGGAAGAGAAGGAAAGGTTTTGTCGCCCTTGGCGTAGATCTCTAATCCTCCATCTCTTGGGTCGGACGGTAAGCTATTCTTATTTGCTCCAAAGACTTCAACGCATGTGGAACCCCGAGTCGAGCTTTCAATTGATAGCACTAGATCAAGATTATTTCTTGGCAAAATTCAACGCTCTATCCGACTATGAGACAGCGAAATTTGGGGGACCATGGATGGTCTTGGACCACTACTTGATAGCTCAAGAATGGAGACCCAATTTCAATCCAAGAAAGAATAAAACTGATTCAATTCTGGCGTGGGTAAGGTTCCCGTCGTTGCCGATAGAATATTTTGACGACGATTTCCTAAAGAAGATTGGGAAAACAATTGGCCGACCAATAAAGATCGACTATGTGACGAACCTCGTTTCAAAGGGTAAATTTGCAAGAGTCTGTATCGAACTTGATATCACCAAACCTGTGTTATCCAGATTTGTTTTGAATTTTGAGGAATGGCCAATTGAATACGAGGGCATCCATCAAATTTGTTTTAAGTGTGGAATTTATTGCCATCGAATTAAGATGTGTGGCAAGGACCAGACTGAGACGACAACCATCGAAACCACTACTGGAAGTACTGAACCCCAGCTGGGGATGGAGAGGCCTGTCCAAAAACCCAAGGAGAAATATGGGGCATGGATGCTAGTTACTAGAAAGGATAGAAGAAAACAGTAGAGGGTGCAGAGCCAGTCCGACGTGAATATGGGTAGAGGCAGGCAGAAGGATGCTCAGTCTAATGGGGAATCAGTCCAGGCGAATGTAGCAACGCATTCCCAGTTTGGAGCCTTGTATGATCTGGAAGAACCAGTAGGTGATCAGAACCAGCAAGAACATAACATTCTGTCTCCGCCTCAACAGCCTAATCTCCCGAGAATTAGGACCAACTATCGGGGTGCGAGGCAGAATATAGTGCAAAATATGGAGGTCGAACCAAGAACTGGGGGTCAACCACCACCCCCTAGGCAGCCACCGCCACCTGGTCGTGGAGCCTATAGAGGCCGTGGTGGGAGGGGCTTCCAACCCAATCGAGCGGCAGCTGCAGCAGAACACACTGTCGTCCGTGGATCCAGAAGGGGAGAGATTATTGAGAGTACCACAGTCCATCATACTAATGTGCATCCAGATTCCCCAATGCTTACTGCTTTCGAAAATACCTTTAAAGAAGTTCCACCTGATATGGCACGGGCACCCTCCAACCAACCTGTAGTGCAATCCAATTCTCCAACAGTTGTCTTTGGGAACAACTTCAAAGAAGTGCCACCCGACTTGACACGGGCACCTGAGCTGTTGGCCGATCCTCCCGATTTGGTGATGTGTGTTGACAATCGTTCTGATGACCATATTGGTCCAGCTGTGGATTCTCGCATGCGCCAATAGGCGCCTTCCTTACTCTCTTCCTGTTTTTTAATGATTTTTCTTGTTTGGAATTTCCAGGGTGCGACCTCTAAATCATTTAAGTGCACCCTAAAACATTACCTGTGTGTTCACAAACCATCTTTTGTCTGTCTCCTTGAGCCCAAAGTCTCGGGCTTTCAAGCCAACGAGATTTGCTTCAGTTTGGGCTTTGACGATTGGGTTAAGGTTGAAGCCATTGGCTTTTCTGGGGGTATTTGGATACTATGGAAGTCTTCCGTGTCCATTGATGTTTTATATACTCACCCTCAATTTATTTCTTTACAGGTACAAGAAAGCGGTTCAGAACCTTGGCTGCTATGAGTAGTTTATGGAAGCCCCAACAAAAGTCTAAGAAGGCGTCTTTTCTCAGACCTTTCAAGGCAGTTGTTTGATCCCCTGGGATCTTGGCTAGTTGTGGGTGATTTCAACGCGGTAACCTGTCACGAAGAAGTCAACAACCAAGAGATTTTCTCTCTGGCAAGATGTGCCGATTTCAACCAATGGATCTTCAGAGAAGGGCTAATCGACATAGGCTTTATAAGTTCGGAGTTTACGTGGATGAGGGGGATTGACTCCTCTTCGTTCAAAGGAGGCCGTCTAGATCGGGCCATGAGCAACACCGAGTGTAGGTGTCTTTTCCCAAATGCGGTAGTCCACCATCTTCCAATCGTCCAGTCAGACCATTCGCCCCTCCTTGTTAATACTTGCGAATCTCCACAGGTGACGGAAAATAGAAGCTTCCGGTTCAATATGGCTTGGGCGAATCATGCTACTTTCTAAGGCCTAGTCAAATATTGCTGGGCAACTGACCAGAATCTGGACTACAACAAGGCTGAAATGGCAAAGCTCTTCTCGTCATGGAACAAAAACACTTTTGGAAACATATTCCATAGGAAAAAACGCCTTCTGGCCAGACTAGGTGGCATTCAACGTAGCCTACCCCTAGGGGCCAGATCGGATCTCATCAGACTAGAACGACGCCTGCGGAAAGAGCTTGAGGAAACTTTGTACCAAGAAGAACTTGTCTGGTTTCAACGGTGTTGAGAGCAATGGATTACCTCTTGGATCTCAATACTCGTTTCTATCATACAGCTACCTCCATAAAGGGTAACAATCGAAAAGTCATGTCTTTGAGGGATGAAGATGGGAATATTTTCACGGATGAGGAGTCAATTAAATCCCTGGTTCGAAAATATTATATGAACCTCTTCGCAGCAGAGATCAACGTAGTAAAGAGCTATCTACCTCGTGGTCGGTTTCCTCTAATCGACAGTCTGGATTGGCAAATCATTAACCTACCTATCAGCTATGGGAATGTAAAAACTGCTCTGTTCGAGATTGCTCCCTGTAAATCTCCAGTTCCCGACGGGTTTACAACGAGGTTTTATCAGAAAACGTGGGAAACAACAGGTGAAAGTCTGGTGAAGTTTGCCAAGACATTCTTTGAAGAAGGTTCTCTCCCTCCCGGCAGTAACGATACCTTACTATCCCTCATCCCTAAGGTTCCAAGTCCTACCAGTGTCAATCAATTCCGACCTATTGGATTGTGTAATATGACGTACAAACTAATCACGAAGATTATGGCCTTACGTCTCAAAAATATTGTGAGAAAGATCGTAGGCCTCCACCAAATAAGCTTTGTTCCGGGGAGGCAAATATCTGATAATATACTGGCCTATCAAGAGATCCTTAGCTCGTTGAGAACCAAGAAAGGCAGAATCGGTTGGGTAGTAATGAAGGTGGACTTAGAGAAGGCCTATGATAGGCTATCTTTGGAGTTTCTCGATGACACTCTACAGGACATTGGCTTCAACAATAAATGGAGAAGAAATATCCTCGAATGTGTAACATCCTCGAGACTTGTTGTATTGTGGAATGGTCAACAGACTGACTGGTTTGAGCCCGAAAGGGGTTTGAGACAGGGAGACCCAATATCCCCCTTACTTTTTGTTTTATGTGTTGAAAGGCTTAGTCACATTATAGAAGAATCAGTTGTTAGTGGTCGTTGGAAGGGGATCAAGATTAATAAACTTGCTCCTAATATGACTCATCTTTTTTTTTTTTTTTTTTTTTTTTTTTTTTTTTTTTTTTTTTTGCAGACGATCTCATCTTCTTTGGCGAAGCAATGGTCCATCAAGCACTAGAGATGAAGGGCTGTATCGATCTATTCTGCTCAGCTTCAGGCCAGAAGATTAGCATCCAAAAGTCCTCCCTATTTTTCTCAAAAAATACGACAATGGCTCAACAGCAGTCCATCCTAGAAGCATTGGGCATTCCAAGCGTTACTAATATGGGTTGATATTTGGGTGTTCCATCAATTCATGGGAGAGTGAAAAGCGATACCTTTACTGGAATTCTAGAGAAGTGCAATCTCGACTCGCTAGCTGGAAATCAAGATCACTTTCACTGGCTGGACGTCACGCCCTTGCTCAGTCAGTCCTAACGTCGATCCCATACTTTACTATGCAAACCATGCTGATTCCAGCTGGAGTTATCTCTACCTTAGAAAAGCTAATCAGAGACTTCCTCTGGAGCAGTACAGAAGAGGCAAGAAAATGTCACCTTGTCAATTGGGAAACCATCACGCGCAGCAAATCTAATGGTGGCTTGGGGATAAGGAGCCCTAAACATATGAACTTGGCCTTTTTAGCCAAGCTCACTTGGAGGATAATCCAAGATGTTGACAGCCCATGGATTAAGCTATTCAAGGCAAAATATGGGATTATACCTTTCGACTGGTCATCGTGGCAGCTCAAAAGCAACAATTCTAATGCGTGGAGGGGAATAGTCAAGGCCCTCCGCATACTCCAATCCGGCATCAAACGGCTGGTAAGAAATGGTTCGAGTACGCTCTTTTGGGTGGACAAATGGCTAATAGATAGGCCTTTATATGAACTGACGTCTGAGATTTCTCCTTCCGAATTGAGGATGACTGTGTCTAGCTACTGGATTGCGAATGTGGGTTGGCAATGGGATCAGGTGAATCATCTTCTACCCGCCACTGTACTTAGAAAACTAGCCACTTTTATTCTCTGCGAAGATCAAGAGGCTCTGGACTTAATCGGCTGGGAATCTGAATCTAATGGGATCTTCTCTGTCAATTCAGCGTACAACATTGCACTGGGTGCAAGTGAGTCTTTGGATGCTACCAAGTGGAATAGCATTTGGAAACCTAAGATCCCCAATCGGATTTGCTTTTTCCTATGGTTGCTAAGGCATGGTAAAATCATGACTAACCTTAACAGGTCTAGGCGTGGGATATTCAGCAATGACAAGTGTTGGTTATGTGCGGATTACATCGAGGATACAAACCATGTCATGCGTTTCTGTCCTGCGACGGAAGAAGTTTGGAAAATTACTCTGCCCATGTTACATGAAATGCTTAGAAAGGCCTTTTGTCAGTTGGGTTGACGAAGGTACTGCTCCGAAAAATAATGGTAACAATCCCTGCCATAACAGCACCATCTTCGCGGTCACGGCATGGTGGATTTGGAAATGGCGCAACGATGCTATCTTTAGTGGCAAGGTTATCCCGGTTGAATCGAAAACAGCCATAATAAAGGCCCAGGTGAATGAAGTAATTGGTGCTTTTGATAAAGCTAGGGGCTTCAAACCTACAGGCAACTCTCTGGATTGGAAGAAACTCTGCTGGATAAAACCACCTGATAACCTGGTTAAGGTTAATGTTGATGGGTCGGTCATCCCATCATCCTTTTCTGCGGGTGTGGGGGTGTCATAAGAGATAGTATGGGGGATTGGAAGCATGGATTTGTGGCTACCATGGGCAACTGCACCCCACTGGAAGCTGAAGTTTGGGCGCTACTCAAAGGAATTCAACTGTCAGCAGCTTTGGGTTTCACACGGGTATTATTTGAGAGTGATTCGAAAGAAGCAGTCGAGTTTCTCAACAGTAATAATTCCCCCCCCACCCCCCCCCCCCCCCCGGCGTATTGCAGCACATAATGTCTTGATAGCATGCAGAAAAGAGCTCCGGCTATTTGAACTTTGGCAGGTATCAGATATTAACCGGGAACAAAACTTTGTGGCAGACGCATTATCTAAACTCTCTTGGCAATTTAGCGATGGATTACATAGACTTCCTCATCCTCCAGATATAATTAGAGGTTACTTAGAAGATGATTTGGCTGGGTTTCCCCTGTGGCAAAATACCCATGAATCTGTGTAATTGTTTGCTTGGGTCTCCCCCTTCCAGTTAGAAATAAAAAAATGGAAAAATCCATTTGAAATTCTATGTAATTTTATAAGGAAATAATAATATA